CTCTCTTAAGGTTTCATCCTGTCTCTGGATGATAGCCTAGAGAGCTGCCTCGGTCTTTGGGTGTCGCCGAGACACAGTGAAAGAACTTATGAATTGGTTCTTTAGGTTTCGCCACGAGGTGATTGATCCCGGAGCGAGGCCCTTATACCAGTCCATTGCTGCTTTTCTAAGGGTCGTGGGGAACAACCGGCATTTGATGGGCCCCCCGACGTTGTGATAGTGCAGCACAGCCTCGAACCCGTCTATGTGGTCGACCGGGTCTGCGACTCCATCGTATTCCTTCAAGTGTGGAGGCTTCTCCATGCCCGGGGGAATGGACGCCTCCATGATAGCTTGCGACAGGGGACCGCGGGGGTCGTCCTTGTCGCTTCGCTCTAGGGAGAGGGATGGGGACCTGTAATATTATCGAGCGCGAGGGTCTTGGTCGTGTTGGGCGCCCCTCGAGCGTGGTGCTCGTCGGTTGATTCTTCCATGCCTGTCTCCGGAGTGTCTTCTTTCTTGTCGTGGGGGGGCGTGGTCGCGCCCCCCGGCTTCGATGATGGGCTGCCTCTCCAAAGGGGGTCGTTTCCCCGAGGGTCGGGGGGATGGGCTTCGGGAGGCATCTCTGTATTGTCTCCGCGGGGGGGGGGGGGGGGGGGGGGGGGGGGACGGGAGATGTACTTCCGTTACTCGAGGAGGTGGAGTCTGGGGCCTCCGGTGCCTCCTCGGGGGTCTTCGATCGTCTTCTAATGCCCTCAATCTTTCCCCTTGGGCGAAGATGAGGTAATTCGTTTGATTGATCGCCGCGAACAGCGCGCAGGTTGTGGCATCTGCCTCGGCGGGGACAGAGACTTCCTGAAACTGAGCAGCTCGATAGTTTGTGAGAGCTGCATCGTCTTCTTCGAGCGGCGGAGGGACCGAGGAGGAGGATACAGTAACTCCATCGCGGTGGATTGAGGGACTGGGGGCGGTCGACACAAGGATGGTGTTATCAGGGTGTCCATTTTTATCCGCGAGGCCGTTGTTGGTGTCGACGACGCGGATGTTTTGTTCCTCACGAACTTGGTCAGTCATGTCGGTGATCGTTGAGTTGAGCTTTGGTCTTCGAGTTTTTACAAGATGGGGAAGCTAATTTCCCACAGACGGCGCCACTGATCTTACCTGATCAGACTTGGACCGGCACGACTGGCTCCGAGCTGAAGTTGAACGAGATGGGGGGGGGGGGGTAGCTGCAAGGCACTCCGATGCTAAAGTGAGTGGTAGCACGAGCAGGTAAAAAGTGTGTATATGGGTAAGAGAATGGATACCTGACCCTCTAGGAATAGAGGGTATTTATAGCCCCCTGCGCTGGGCCAAGGTCCCTTCATTAGGCCGACCAGGATTGGCCCAATAAAGGAACTGCCAGGTTCTACGTGTGTAGTGGGGATCCGCACGTGGTCTCCTTCCTGGATGCTCTGCGAGAAGTACGGACGGACGAGGATGCGGTCTTTTCGGAGTTCAGGCGATGGTGTAACGGTCATAATCTGCCCTACGAGGAGGGTGCTCGAGCTGGACTCGAGCTGAATTGTATATGGTCGAGGACTTTGTGTTCGCGGACACGGCTGTAGCTTCTGGTCGACGCGCTCCTTGTAGAGTTGTTTGGATTGGATCTTCATTCTTGCTCTTGGGCCAATCCGGACCCAGTCCAGAAAAAACGATGAACCTGTAAGAAAAAACGAAATTTATTATTCCTCCATTTTGATATAAGGTTTTATACATAAATTAAAAATATAATAAATTATTACAAAATATTATATTTTATTAACCTAACTTTCTTACTTAATGGTTGTTCTTTACTATTGATTGTGTTTTAAAATAGATTATTTGTATGATTTATATTTTATATAATGAGAAAACTAACAAAATTATATTGGATGTGGCATCTACTAAAATAATAATTAGCATTGTTCATTTTTTTTTTAGCAAAAATTTGTTTTTTCTTTCGTATGCTTTATATATTTAAAAAAATTAATCAACTATAATACTTAATTGTTAATTGTGTTTTTAAAAAAATATATCATTTTGTGTGTCTTATAGATCTTTGAGTTTGCTTTACATTTTGAAAAAATAAAATTAACAATCAATTAATATTATTAATTGTTTTTTTAAAGGAAAAATAGGCATTTCATTATGCATTATATATTGAAAAATATAATTTTTTAATAATTAGTATTGTTAATATTTTTAGAGAATATATATTTTTAAATGCTCTATATGTTTAAGAAAATTAAAATTTTCAACCAACTAGTGTACATTTAGTAGTTATGTCATTTCATAAATAAAAAATTAAATTGTTTTATATGCTATTTATATATTGGAAAAATAAATATTTTAATTAATTAATTTATAAAGATATGTTTCCTTTTTTTAATAAATATTTTGTTCCAATATACTTTTTTTTATTGTCATTGAATTAATTATATGGTTAAGATACAAGATTGAGAAAATCATATATATATAGTTTTTGAAGGCCCTATATAAGTTAACTATAATTTACCTATGAGAAAACAAAAAGAGGTTCTATTTAATCACAATTTAACTTAATAAATAATTTTTTAGGCCCTATTTATATATTATATATAGATGTTATATATATATTATATGTTATATGTTATATATAGATGTTTTATATATATGTTAATTATATATAAACATTGATATGGCATCATGAAGCACTAATGTAAAAACATAATACTTATATGAGCTTATAAATGCATCGTTTTTGAGTAACATTTTGCACATAGCACCTAGTCCATAGAACACAAGCAATATTAATAGTGAAGATGAGGGACATGAGTAGTATATGGCAGAGGATGAAACCGGAAGTGCTAATGGTTTTTGTACAAATTGCATTTGGTGCGATGGCTATAATATACAAGCTAGCAATAAATGATGGAATGAGCATGAGAGTGGCCGCAGCATATCGCCTCATTTTTGCCTCCGCTTTCACTATCCCAGTTGCTCTTATTTATGATAGGTTACTTGCACCCTCTATTATTTATTATTATTTGAGAAAATTACACTCCTATTTGCTGTCATGTAGCTTCTTTGAACAAGAGAAAGGAATAATATGGCCGTTTTTGCAGGAAGAAGAGAGAGAAGATTACTTGGAGTGTGATTTTTAAGACATTTCTATGTGGATTGTTTGGGTATGTGACTTATTATACAAGTATTTTCTTCAGTTATTTATTTTATCTACAAGAAAACAATAATATATTTATATATGCAATATTTCAGGGGAAGTTTGTATCTAAATCTTTACCTTGAGGGTCTGGCTTTGACGTCGGCAACGTTTATGTTGGTTGTTGTCAACCTAATTCCAACCATTACCTTCATCATGGCTGTATGCTTCGGGTATATACAATATATATCTATCAACCACTCTGTCTAATTCTTGTAATTTTTATAATTTTTCAAGAAACAATGACATAGTTTTCATGCACTACAAATATGTCCTGCAAAACAATTTTTTTAAATAAAATACATTAACGTATTTTACTTTTTGGTTTTGATAGAATGGATAAATTCAATTTGAAGGTTGTGGAAGGAAGGGCGAAAGTGATAGGAACAATAATGGGATTGAGTGGTGCAATGTTGATAATATTTTTTAAAGGTGCAGAAATTCATATTTCGTCTTCCAATATTAACCTTTTGCATCCACATCACAACCAAAATGAGCAAATGACATCTCACCATACGGACATTCGTCAAAAAGTGTTGGGTGTTTCATGTGGACTAGCAAGTAGTTGCTCTTATGCATTGTGGTATATTATTCAGGTTAGTTTATTCACTTTCGTTGATGTACACACAAGTAGTTGTTTTTATGCATCAATGGTTTTATGTGAATTGTTGTTTTACATGGCACAGGCTAAATTGAATGAGGAATACTCGAGTCCTCGCTCAAGTGCAGCTTTAATATCCATAATGGGAGCCATTCAAGCAACTGTTATTGCTCTCTGTCTTGAAAAGGATTGGAGCCAATGGAACCTAGAAAACAACCTCAGGATTTTTACTGTTGTTTTTTCGGTATGCTATTAATAATTTAGTAAATAGATTTGGTAAAAGGAAGTTTTTTATTTTGGTTATGTAGTCTAGCGGTTGGAGTTCACGTTCTTGCGCAGTTATCAATTGAGCTGACTTAACTGGATAAAAAAAGTTTTGAAATGTGAGTGAATGTTTATGCAGGGAGTTGTGGCGTCTGGATTAGTTGTTATCGCTATGGCCTGGTGCATAAAGATGAGGGGTCCTGTGTTTACGTCTCTTTTCAGTCCTTTTCAACTCTTACTTGTAGTTATAGCTTCTTATTTGATATTGGATGAGAAATTATATTGGGGAAGGTAATATTATAAATCTCTGTACAATTTTCCAGCCATCAATATATTTACAATTAACATTATATAAATTAATTTCATAGCATGGTTGGAGCAATGGTGATTGTTTGCGGCCTCTATGCGGTACTTTGGGGTCAAAGCAAAGAAATGAAAAAGAAAGTGGAGATATTAGAACTTACAAGAATGTCTGAAAGTGATGAGCATGTTGTTATTTCTCATGATAGAGTATGATAGAGTCAAGCTACCAGAGTTCAGCCATTACTAATCAATGATTCTAGCAATTTATGGGATTCTGTAGTGTGTGTATATAATATTTATGCACTATTAATGATTTAAATATGAGGATTATTTATAATGTGCATGTTTTCACATTGGTGGTAGCTCATCTTATTCAACTACATAAATTTTATATTGATATCATTTGCTCAAATGATTTAGAAAGTATAATCAAGCAATATTAAGCATACTATAAAGTAGAAAAAAGCATAGGTTTAGACTTATATGAGGAGACTGAATGAAACTTGCCTTATGATATTATTGGTGCAATAAAGTACAATGTCCTGTCTTATTTAGATGTTTCACCAAATGCTATTTGGAAGGACTACACATTGCCTTGTCATTATATTGTCGATGATGAATGATCAAGAGCTCTCAATTCAAAGTCTTGATGACAGCTGAAAAATCAAGGTCTCCTAACCCCGTGCTTTTGGCTTTCTCGAATGCCTACAATAAGAACCCAAAAAAATGGAACAGAAATGAAAAGATGAAAACAGAAATTTATGTAGATAATTTTAGAATATTACAACCCAGGTTTTCGAGCCTGTGTCTCCACAATTCAAATTCTTCCTAATTTTCCCGAATGATTTCCTATGAGTTTTGATTATTCACTGAGATAGCAATATTTTGAACTAACTAAGCACAAAAAAATAGTATTGCCTCATTTGCTACAGCTGCAACAGGCATGGGTACAGCATTTTCATCGCCAAGGGCAAGAGCCAATCTCATGTCTTTCTGCATATGTTTAAGTGGAAAACCTGGGTTGTAACTGTTCTTGAGCATTGTCGGTCCTTTCGATTTAAACAAGCCATTACTCATAGCACCGTGATCCTGCAAAAAGAAATTCCACAGATATTCTCAAAATGTTAATAAACGACATTGACAAAAATCCTTTTCATCACAGTAACTTACCAGCACATCAAGAAGTGTACCAGGGTTCAAACCACTTCTTTCAACAAGTCTCAGTCCCTCAGAGAAAGCATTCATCATACTATAACAGAACAAGACATTAAATAAGTACATGCACTTGCTGAAATAAGGGTTTGTTTGAATTGACTAACTTAAGCTTATCTACTAGTGTAACCACTTATATGAGATTGTTTGTGAGAATTTATAGAGGCAACTTATAGCTTATAAGAAAACATTGACTTTATTTTATCTTTTTTTTAGATATAACTTATATGCAAGCAATTATGCTATTAGTGCTTAATTATACTTTCAAATTTAGAAGCATAGAAGAGAAAAAACGGGATAAAAAGTACCTTCCCATTACCGCGTTGACTGCAAGTTTCATTTTCGCACCATCTCCAACCGCACCGAGAAAGAAAGATTTCTTCCCGAGTACATCAAATGCTGGAAGTGCTTCCTCATATAATGCCTAAATATCAAATAAATCAACCACTTAAACTTAAACTATCGTCGGTACAATCTCAATGGAACTATTACCGACGTTTCCATAAACAGTTCAATTAAGTGTTTATTATATGAGAGCTTAATGAAAAGTACTTATATCACTTAAAACGCCAGGAAAATGATTACTAGCTGGCCAGTAGCGATTAAAAATACCTTGTGGCCAGCAGCAATTATTACTAGTTGACCATCTTCTGCATGCGTCTTGCCACCCGAAACAGGAGCTTCAAGGAAATCACCACCTTTTGCTTTGATTGCCTGTAGAAAGAAGAAGGTTTGTCAGTTGCAATTTATATGTAAGGTAAGGTCTTATTTCCATTTCCTTTTGAAAAGTCGATTATCATAGCATTGCTAGGAATATATAGTTACTACAGAGAACCTTTTGATTCATATATACAGAACTTATCATCAAACTAAATTTCCATAAAAACAGAAACCGTCAATGGACGAATACAAACTAATGACTGCAATCACATATTTATAGTTTATAGTTGGATAAACAATATGCAACGCTTAATACTAAAACTTAAGAGTCTCCATCATGTAAATTACTAGGTAAATTCAGTTTTCAATCTAAGGAAAAGAGATAAGGATTTTGGCAATATTTTCTCATCTATGAGACACTTAAGCTATGTTTGGTAAAAATAGCGGTTGACTGATAAGTTAGCTGAAAGCTTATAACTTATGACTGATGACTGATGCACTGCAACATTAGCAATTACAATCATTTTTTCATAAATAAAGGGGAGATGCATTTGAGCAAAAGCAGAGTATACCAACATCAGATATCTTAATAGATGTCTGGGCATCAATTGTGGACATGTCAATATAACCTTTTCCGTTAATTTGCTCAAGAACACCATCCTTATCAAACACAACCTAACACAAAAGGAATTTCAATATAAGAAAATTAAATAGATTTCATCTCAGAGACAAATTTCACATCCACCGACAGACAAAGCAGCTGAAGGATCAGATAACATTGCTATTGTATACTTGCATTTCTTAACAACAGCAGCAGGTGTTTCTCCAACTGTAGCACCATGCTCCACAAGTTCATCACACTACAATTAAACCCAACAAAAGTATATAAAATCACAAGCAATCATTATTGAATAACAGAAGCAGAAAGTGACTAAGTTTTATGTACACCTTGGAGAGGGTTCTGTTCCAAACAGTGACTTTGAAGCCATGGTGTAGAAGGTTAATTGACATAGCTTTGCCCATTATCCCCAAACCTAAAAACCCAATCTCCATTTCTTTCTCACTCTCACTCTTGTTCTCTTCTTCCTCTCAACGGATGGTTCATATCATCTCTATATCTCAGTTATTATTAACAAGATAAGATGCTTATCATTTTCTTATTTTCAAAAATAAAACGCAGAATCAAACAATAGTAAGAGTACAAGAAAGTACTAAAAAAAGCATAATCAATATCTACATCTGAAATCATGTTCTAGCTGTAACACGATGTCACACATTGGTGAGACAATGAGCACGACAATGCAAAAGTAACAATGAGCACGACACATGAATGGTTAACTCAGTTCGTACAAAGTAAACTGGTTTAGAGGGCCCAATAAATTTTTTTATCTATAAGGTTCCAAATAAATTTATATATCATAATTTATAATGTTTTACAAATAAGGTATATTTAAAAAATTGAAATATTGTTAATTTTAAATAATAAAATATGAGAAAAATATTGAGATAGTAATTCTTTGTGTCCAAATTATTGCATGTCGAGTTGTTTTAGCAGTCGAAGTGACGAAGGAATTGTTTCGACAAGATTTCGACTTAAAGTCTATTTTGTAGTGTTAGCAAATTAGGTATTTTTTGTGTTTTGTAGTTTTAGACTTTGACTTATAAAGTAAGTAGGGATGACAACGGAGCGGGTTTAAGCACACCCAGATCCGCACCCTCCACCTAGACTCAGACTCGTCCCCGCTCATAAATTCAGTCGAGGCTAATATTTGTTCCCCCGTCCTCGCCTTCAATAAGAAACGGGTTTCCCCGCACCCGTCCTACGCCTGTCCGAATAAAATTTTAATTTTTTTAAAATTTATACTTTTTTCAATAAAAATAAAAATCAATAATTAATCAAAATAATTAATTATTTTAACAACATTTTTTATGTTTGATGTTTTTATTTAAATTATATTTTTTAAAAAGAATAATTCTAATAAACATGATATTATAACATTAAAAAGTGTAACTGGATAATAAAACTATTAAAAATAAATTAAATAAATTAAATTTAGTTGGCGGGTGCGGGTGCAGGGCGGATATTAGCATCACCCGCCTCCGCCTTCACATCTGTAAATAAAAACTTGATTTTTCCCGCACCCGTCCCTGGTTAAACCGGTTTTTCCCTGCTAATTTCAAGACGGGAGCGGCCGGGACCCGACAGGGGCGGGTTTATTTGTCATGTCTAAAAGCAAGTTAAACTAAAATTATAAATAGAAGGAGAAACTCCTATTATTACATATAACTTATATTCAATAGCGGATCTAGTGGAGGCGGGCAGGAGTCGTTGCACCCCTCATTTTAAAAATAAAAAAAATTCATTAACTAAAACAATATGGTTTAGCATAACTAAAAAAAATACAACTCTCTTCGATCCAACACTTTGTCTTTCACTCTCTGAAACTCTTTCTTTGTCATTCCCTCTCCAAACTACAACAGAACTACACACATCAAAACCTTCCTCCTTCTTGTACAGGCACGACTTCTAGTTCTAACACGATAGCAACGGCGACTTTTTTCACAATTTCGACAACGACAACATTTTTGTTCAGGACTTCGACAACGACTTCGATGACATGGATGACTTTGTTCACAATTTCGAAGACGGTGGCATTGTTTTCTCCCTCTCACTATCACAATTGTTAGAAATCCACCAAAACCTATGATAAATTTCTATCAACCTTGATGCTCAAGATTGATATCACCACATATGACAATGAAAAATAAAAGATGAAGGAAGAAATAAAGTATTTTTCTGTAGAGTTTCTCGTTGCCCACAAACTGTAAAAAAACTTTATTATTCACTTGCAACTGCAAATTCTGTGAATGAACGAATTGAATACAAAATAGGGGTTACTCCCTATTTCTAGATTTATGTTAGCTTTCTCCCTAAGTCAAAACTCAAAACTATAAAATCCCAAAATATCTATTTTGGAACTAAATCAAATCTATTCTATTTTAGATCTAAATCAAATATATCTAAATCTAAAACAAAAATATGTGTGTAACAAACTGTTTCCACACATCAAATCTGTTCGACACTCCCTTGTCTATGTCGGGTAAACTGCTTCGACACAAGGAATTACAATTTAGCACACCATCTAATTCAGTGTGTCTAAGCTATCTACATTCATCATAGTTATTAGTCTTTGAAATACTTCGACCTTCACACACTTCGTCATGATGTCTGCAATCTGATTCTCAGTTTTTTAGTGTTCCAAGTTCATCTTCCAATCAACTACCTGCTCTCAAAGATAGTGGAACCTCATTTCGATGTGCTTGTTTCGACCGTGTGCTATCTGGTTCTTCTCTAGGTTGATAGCTGATATGTTGTCGATCTTCATGGTAATTTCTCCATTATCTTTATCTGTAATCTCTTCGACCAAGTTTACCATCCATATTACTTGACATGCACAAAGAGAGTTAGTTATGTATTATGCTTCACATGATGATAATGTTATTACTGTTTTCTTTCTCAAACTTCAATCAATTGCTGCACCACCTAACATAAACACATATCCTGCTGTGGACTTTCGATCCTCGGCATCACTACACAACCTTGAATCAGTGTACCCCACTAACTTGCACTCTTTCCTTTATTAGCTGCAGGAAACAAAATTCCATAGTCAAAAGTTCACTTCAGATACCTCAATATCCTCTTCGTTGTTGTTAGGTGTTATGCATGTGGCTTCTACATGAATCTACTCATCATGCCTACACTATATGCTAAGTCATGCCTTGTGTGCAAAGGTGTCTTAATGACACAATAAGTCTTCTATATTGAATTGGGTCGACATCATCTTCTTCTGACAGTTGCAATCTTGGTTTTGCAGGTGTCGAAGTTGAGTTGTGTTCTTTCATAACAAATCTATTGAGAATTTCACTTGCATATCTTCTTTGATGCATCATCAAACTTATACTACTCTTGTAGAATTCGATACCAAGGAAATATGAAATGTTACCCAAATCAGACATTTTGAATTCCTTGTAGAGATTACCTTTGAAGTCTTCGATCTCACTTTTACAATTACCTTTTATCAACAAATCATCGACATAGAGACATAGTATAAACAATTCACTATTGTTTTTTCTTACATATACTCCATATCCAGTTGTGCACTTCACAAATTATTTCTTCCTTAGAAAATTATCAATCTTCTTATTCCAGACTCTTGGAGCTTGTTTCAATTCATACAAGGCTTTATGAATCATGTGCACCTTTCTCTCTTCGTCATGTTTCACAAACCCAACTGATTGTTTAACATAAACTTCTTCATCTAAGGATCCATTTAGAAATTCACATTTCATGTCCATCTGACATATGTTCCAATTGTTTATTTCTGCTAGACCAGTAACCAACCTGATAGTTTCGATTCTAGCCAAAGGTGAAAAAACTTCATCGAAGTCTATTCCTTCTTTCTGGAGAAATCCTTTCGCCACGAGCATTACTTTGTGTCGAGTTACTTCTCCTTTTGGATTCATCTTCACTTTGTATACGCACTTGACATCAATTTCCTTCTTGCCTCGAGGAAATTTAACAAGTGACCAAGTGTTGTTGTCTTTGATACACTTCACTTCCTCATTCATTACTTTCAACCACTTTTAATCCTTCAATGCTTCAGCTGCATTGACTGGTTAGACATCTTCATAGAAAGAATAATGTACCAGCTTCAGCCCAAAACTCTTTAGGTAAATGTTTTCCTATCGACATACTTCTCATCATATTCATGATGGTTTGATTCTTCCTTTCTGCAGTTCCATTCTGATGTGGAGTGCAGGGTGGCATTACCTCATACACAATCCATTCTTTATCACATAACTTGTCGAAGTATTTCAACACATATTCTCCACCACCATAAATTCTTAAAACATTGAGCTTTTGACCACTTTGTCTTTCGATCATAGACTTAAACTTGGCAAATACCTCAATCACTTTTCTTCTTGATCAGGTAAGTCCATAATTTTTTAATGAAATCATCTATGAATGTGACAAAGTATTCGTTACCTCCATTTGAATCCACTTGGATTAGTCCACATACATCAGAATATATGACTTCAAGAACAGCCTTCGACTTGCTTCCAACATCCTTGTTGAAGATATTCTCGTGTTGCTTTGATTGCACACACTCCTCACACACTTCATTTAGAGTGTCGATTTCTGGCATTCCTGAAACCATATTTTTTCTATTCAAATCTATGATGTCTCTAAAGTTGAGATGTCCTAGTCGATAATGCCATATCCATTCGTCTCTTCTAGCCGCACTCGAAAGGCACTCATGCTCCATCACATTAAGTTCGATCTTGAAGGTTCTATTCTGAGACATATGAGCCTTCAATATTAATCTTCCATTTGCATCGACAACTTTCATCATCTTGTATTCGGCCATCACTTTGAAATTCTTTTCGACCAACTGCCCTATCCTTAGCAAATCGCTATTCATGCCTGGTATGTACAACGCATTGGAAATTAATGAATTTTTGCCATCTTTCCTCATAATCAAAACATCTCTAATACCTTCAGCTGTTAGAGTATTGTCGTTTGCGGATTTTACCATATTCTTCATTGAGGGTTTTAGATTTACAAACTAATCTTTCCTTCCAGACATGTGTGATGAACATCCTGAATCCAAGTACCGTTGATCTTTAAATTTTTCTCCATCTTTTGTTGTGGCCATCAACAACATCTCTTCTTCTTCATACTTTGCATCACTTTCTTGATTCTTTCATTTCTATGGACAATCACTAGAATAGTGACCATACTTCTGACAATTGTAACACTGAATGCGACTCTTGTCAAGTTTTCGACCATCACCTCTTTCTTTATTTGCAACACCACCTCTTTAGTTGTTTTGATATGGTCTTCTCTGACTCAACACGTTTTCTTCGTGCTGGTTTCCTATATAAGTCGAATTATTGTAGCCTCATCTACCTTTATTGTTGAACCACTTTCCTTTGTCTTTCTTATGTTTTGCTGGTTGAGCCTGCAGAGCCACATCTCTCTTCGACTTGCCTGTAACTCTTTCAGTCATTCTTTGTTCATGAGATTCAAGTGTCCATTGAAGCTCTTCCTTCGACAAAACTGAAATATCCTTCGACTCTTCTATGACAACTACCACATGATCAAACTTTGGAGCCAAAGATCTCAAGATCTTTGAAACAATAACTCTTGTTGTTATTGTCTCTCCACAAGTCTTGATTTGATTCACTAGTTTCGTAATCCTAGTGAAGAAATCAGATATGTTTTCGCTATCTTCCATCTGAAGCAATTCATACATTCTTTTGTGAGTTTGTAACCTCACCTCTTTCACCTTCTCAGTGCCTCAAAAAGATTTCTTCAGAATTTCTCAGGCTTCTTTTGCAGATTCAACATCACTAACCTTTTCAAAATTGTCTGGGCTGACACATTGATGAATTATAAAGAGAACTTTATAATTCTTCTTCTCTAATTCTTTGTATTCCGCCTCATCTGCCTATGAAGCTTTTTCATCAAGTGGTTCTAATCCATATTTAACAAGTTCATAAGATCTTGAAAACAAAATATAACCTTCATCTGTTTACACCAATTCTCATAGTTATCACCTTTAAGAATTGAGAGATTCATGGAAAATTTCCATTCGCATAATTCATCGCTATTGATTTTCTTTTTCTTCTTCCTCGATCGTTCTTGATCATTCTTTCCTTGAATCACTCAACCGGAGCTCTTGATATCAGATGTTGGAAATCCCCCAAAACCTATGATGGATTTCTACCAATATTGATGCTCAAGATTGATACCACCACACAATGACTGAAAAATAAAAGATGAAGGAATAAAGAAAGTATTTTTCTGTAGAGTTTCTCTCTGCCTATAAACTGTGAAAATTTTTATTATTCACTTGCAACTGCAAATTCTGTGTGAATGAATTGAATATAAAATAGGGGTTACTCCTATTTATAGATTTAGGTTAGCTTTCTCCCTAAGGCAAAGCCCAAAACTATAAAAGACCAAAATACCTATTTTAGAACTAAATCAAATCTATTATATTTTATATCTAAATCAAATCTATCTAAATCTAAAACAAAATCTATGTGTAACAAACTATTTTTACACATCAAATCTTTTCAACACTCCCTTGTCTCTATCGAGAAAGCTGCTTCGACACAGAATTAAATTTAACAACAATGACAATTTCTCTGCTCTGCTCTTTTTCCTGCAAGTTATAGTCTATTACAATTTACAAACTGAAATGCATTATCATGTATTAGGAGAGTTGAGTTCTTTTGAGTTATTTCATTTTAAAACCTATTAGAGATTTAGAGTTAAAACGCGTGGATAATTTCATTTTGAAATCCGTTAGAGATTTAGAATTAAAACATAATTTGGGGTTAATTTCATTTTGAAATCAAGTTTTCCTTTCAATTTCAAAGGAATCCATTTAGAAAACTTTAGACCAAAATGACATAATGGCTCTGTTTTTTTTTTTTTTTTGCTTTCAAAGGTTCTTCTTTGCTTTAGGTTAAAGTGGCTCTACATTGCTTTTAAAGGCTTCCGTTTAATATGTTTAAGTTTTCATGTAATATGTAATATTTCATTGCTTTAGAAATTATGACACATTGCTTTTGTAGAAACTATCATTTATTTTTTAAATAACGCAAAATATCCAAGTCAGTTCTCCCACCGTATTACACTCGCCTTAATCAGAAGGGAATTTTTGAGTTAGGGGCTCCTCCGGGAAATTCTTCGAGGTAGAACGTGATCAGCTCCGATCTGCCCTTGACCCTCTTGAATGTCACCGTTTGCGGGGGAGGGGGGGCGTCGACCAGTTCGTCCAGCTCCATTTTCATGGAGTTTATAATTATATCATTGACTCCTCCGCCATTTATGACCATGGCGGATGAGAACCTTTCCCACCTACTGTGCATGGACAGAGGCTCTTCGATATCGTCGGGGACATAGAACTCCTCCGGTCTTGTAACAGAAAATATTGTCTAGATGGGAACCGTCTCGCCTGATGGTCGGACCCTCAATCTCCCTTGTGTCACGGGCATCTCGACGAGGAGCGTCGCCGCGTCGATATTGCCCTAGTCTTCCTCCTTTGATGAAGGTCTCAATAGCATCTTTGAGATAGACACAATGGAGTTCGGCCAAGGACATAACTGGTCAGTATCCTTTAATCGACATAATTAAATTGGACGTCACGTGGAATTGGACCAAAAACAAACTCAGTCCAAAACACAAACATATCGACATTCAAAATTATATACCACTAAAAAAACATATATTTTGCTTACAAACATATCCACGTTCATAATTATATTTCACTAAAAAAAACATATATTTTGTTTACGCACAAATTTTTTACTGTTTAATTTTTACGATAGAAAATTTTCAACCTTCTATAACTTAATGAAGTCTAAAAATTTAGTCAAAATAAAACTTAAAATACCGTGTCAACACGTTTTTTAGATCAAGTCTAAGTGAAACATATTCTTCATCTTTATTTTGTAATTTAGAGAATTGATTGAATTAATTAACATATCATATATATATATATATATAATCAAAAAAGTAACTTGTCATTTATATTTTTGAAATATTAAAATCTCCCACCTATTCAACCTCGCTAAAAAGGAAAATAGTTATTCACTCTTCTCGAAATATACATGTAAATATTATTATTTTTATTCGCTTAAAAAATATTATTTATTTATTTATTTTTACATAATAATTATTCAACTATGGAAAACAAAATCTGAATCAGACTTTTTCCTCTCTCTCTACCCACCACACATGCATCAGGTATGTTCTCTCTGCACTCTTCAATTTTAAGTTCTGCAACACTTGTGATTTGATACAAAATTTTAATCTAAAAATTAGTGGAAATTAGTACTAGTTAAGTTTGATTTCATAACCCCATTTTGGTTTAATTTATTAAAATTTTTGAACTTGATTGTGTTTTGGATCTTTCACTTCACTTCTAGATTTTTGAATTGCTGTTGTAGATTTGGAATCTCTCTCTTTTTTTAGAATTTTTTTAGGGTTTTTTATGTTGAGTATGTAGGTTTTATGATCTTAGGTCTTGTTACTTCTTTTGTTGAAGATCTGATATGGTTATCTCAACACCAAACACCCCACTGACACGTAAATATCGGTAATAATTTGAGAAAATCAAAGTGACTAGTATGTTTGGTTCTACCGTGAAAAAATTGATTTTGAGTTAATTGATAATTTAAAATTGATTCTCGTTAAAAGTGAGTTGATGTAAAGTGATTTATGTTTGAATAGTTTTATGCAAAATTGAGTTGAATTGTAAATTTCAATGTAAAAGTTACATCTAAACTCAAAAGCTACCAATTCTATTTTCAAGTAGAATCAATTCTACTTTAGAAGCATCAAACACCTCAAAATCATTTCAAGATCAATTTTAGACCTCTAGAATTGATTTGATTTTGGCTCTTCCAAAAGCTAAACCAAACATACACTATGTTTTGTCTGTGCTGAACATGGAACTCGTATTCGAAAATTTGGATTCAGTACAGTAGGTGACTGCGTGCATTGCATTCACGCAGTCAAACAATTCGTAACTGTCTGATCCTGTTTGAGAAAAAATATATTTTGTTTTTTTCCCAACCTTTCAACTCTGATCAAAGGGTCACGGGTCCTGATTGTGTGAGTGCGCGCAGTTTGTAACTTAAGGGAATCCTGATCCCATATTCTATCTGAAGTGTCTGTCGGCGTGGCGTGACTGCACGGAATCTGGATCCCAGAGTCGATGCTTCATATCATTTGATTGAGGAGTTTTTTATTTATTTTTTATATATGCATGTTGCTTGTTGTTATTACTTACTATATTTACCTTATAATACTTTACTAGTATTTGTTTCTTTACTAAAAGAATATTTGCCTTTTTTTCCATATGAATAGTCAAGTTGGTCTTTTGGCAAGAATGAAGAGTTTTGTATATGATTTACTTAACTGAAGGTTTGTGTTGGTAACTTTGAATGTCTTTGATTTTGCAGCTGGCGATTTTCGAGAACTTCGCTTGGTTTTTGCCTATTTCGTTGACGACTTTTGTTTGAGACAACACTTGAAGACTTTGGTTTGTTTGTTTGTTTTTTTATGATAACGGGATACCGGTGTTTTCCGAGATCAAGTTAACATTTGAGACCCAAAGTAATTAATTTTTATGATTTGCGGTACTGCCTTTTGAGTGGAATTGGTTGCGATTTGATACGGGATATATTTATTGAACCGCCGGTCTTCAATGGATTCAATTCAAAATAAAGTTCACTACTGTTGTGTTTCTAAAGGTAACCACGTCCTGTATGCATATAGTGGCGGAAGTGAAGAAGTTGAGAAAGTCGCGACCCAGTGCTTGGAGGCCGCACCTTCTTTTCACAGGTGGTATTTTGAGACAATAGGTAAAAGGACTTATGTATTTCTAATGGAAGATGGATATGTTTACTTCACAGTTGTTGATGAAGGTCTTGGTAACTTGGTAGTTCTTCGGTTTTTGGAACACGTTAGAGATGAATTCAGAAAGGTAGCTAGAAAAGGTTCAAGGGGTTTTTCGTCAAACATGAATTCGATTAACATTCAAGAGAAAATGGTTCCTGTCATTCGCAATCTGATCACTTCGTTAGAGAACGTCTCACGTAGTGGTAGTAATTGGAGAGACGAAGCTTCCTATGATGGTCTGTCTCCATCACCGAACAATTTGAATGGCCAAATCGAAGGCGCTGTTTCAACAAAAGCCCCTTTATTAGGAAAATCGAGCAAACCAGAGAAAAAGAAAGTAAAGGATCACGTGATTGTAATGAGAGATGTTGAGTTAGAGGAGCATCGGAAATCTACAGATAGAGGAGTAAGGGCCGATTCAGGAAATCTAGATGGTATTAGCCAAAGCAGCGTAGGTGCATCTTCTTCTTTGCAAAAGGATATCAGTTCAATGAGAATGAGACCCGCCCCTCAAAACGTTCGCAAGAAATGGTGGCGCCAAGTACGAATTGTTCTAGCTATCGATGCAGCTGTATGTATAATATTATTTGTCATCTGGTTAGTAGTATGCCGCGGTATATCCTGCATTCGATAGCATTCAAACCTCTTATGCGACTCTGAATTTGATCGTTTTTATGTTGGAAGTTGAGATTATCGGCGCATGATCCGAACAACAACAGAAATTAGTTTCTTTAGCGGAGAATGTAGTTGGAGGAAATCACACATTTGTCTTGTTAGTAAGATCTATTTTTAGGCATGTGTTTCTGGTTTATTCAATACTATATGAATTTTTATATTATAGATGTTTATGTACAGTTTCATCACTTTTAAAAATTTGTACTTGTATATGAATTTTGAGAAGATTTTAAAGGTTTGGTCTGTTTCTGTATTTTTCTTTTATACATACATGATGTAGATATGATTGGTAAAAAAAATTTGTCTGTGCTAAGTGGTAATAACCAGTTAGGATTTGCAAACAACAATTGTTTTTCTTGAGATTATAACTTTTTAGATTTTTTTAATTTTTTTATCTACATATGAAGCACAAACACTCCAAGTGCGACCCCGACATTAACACAACGATATTGATAATAATTTGAAAAGATAAATAAGTTAAATATAATCATAAATATCGGTGCAGATGTTTGAAATCGATATAGACACATGTGTTTTCAAAAGTGTCTGGTGTTGCATGACATAGAATAATTATAACCAATAAGTTTTTTTTTTCTTTTTCTTTCAAAGTATCAATTGAAGAAGTAAAATTGCCGGGTCAAATAAACCAACAAAATCTTGCTCTTATTATTTATTTTTGTTTTTATTAAGTTCTAGTCATGCATGTTAAGAAGTCAAAGTACTAGGTTTTCTTTTTTTTTTTTTCTGGTAAACATAACTTTGAAATTTGGATTTGCAAGTTAAATCCATTTTTTAGGATTACATTATAAGGTGGCAGAATTTCAGAAAACTAAAACAACTATGTAATCAGTCAAAGACTAAATATTGACATCATTATCACAAAATTAAATTAAATTGATTCATAAGAGTTCAAAGACGATGTCAATGTTATCAATTGATTGAACTTAGAACTGATCATGTCTTAATTTTTTAACTACAAAGTTAATTGTCAACTTTTAAATATCTATTATTATTATTATTATTATTATTATTATTATTATTATTATTATTATTATTATTATTATTATTATTATTATTACTATTATTATTATTATTATTATTATTATTATTATTATTATTATTATTATTATTATTATTATTATTATTATCATTATTATTATTATTATTATTATTTTTATAAGTCAACAATAATATTTTATTTATTTTTAAAAAAGTTGCTTATAAATATTAATAATTTTTTAACATTAATATAAAAATATAAATAAAAATAGTTGTTACGAATTTAACTCAAAATCAACCCGTTTGAATTCTTTAACTTAACTATAACGAATTTCATTTATATGTTATTTTAGTGAAACATTTTTGTTCTATTTTAATTTTTTTACATCGTAAAATATTAACTATTTTTTTAATTTTACTCTGAATCATTATAAATATTTTCTTATCAATAGTAATTTTTCTTTTTCAACTTAATTAATATGAAAAGATAATAAAGTACATATTAGGCAACTATACAATAGTTTTTTAATGAAATTTTGATATTTTTAATGCTTAATCACATATTTTAGTATATATCTTAAAATCAAGTGATATATAAAATCCGAGTTTGGCTATTGTAAAGTAAATAAAATTAAGATTGTTATTTTAATAAATTTATAATTTATTATGATGTACCTATATTGTTCATCCTTAATTTACTAATCAATATTTAATACAAAAAAGACTAAATAAATATTTTTTTATAAAGAAAACTTAATATTTACTCTATACACTTTCTTGAGATACTCACGGAACCAAACCCATAGAGTGGGATTAGAGAGAGTGGTTGAAAGATTTGTTGTTGACTAGTTCTCAAAAGACTAAGTCAAATTGTCGAAATGAGTAATGAGGTTTGGTTTGTCTACTTGAAACATGTTGTCGTGTCTCTTTCTTGTTTGGTTTCTAACTCTAAGACTTGGTTTTGCATTGGCTTTGAATAATTCATAGAAAAAAGTAAGTGGTCATTTTCTATAAAAGTATTCACATTTTATTTACATTTTTCTAATAGTCTTAAATTTGGCATAGCCAAAATCAATCGATGCTATCTTAATGCTAATTATTTCAATTAAAGCTAAGTGTCTTAATAAAGTAACTTAAGTTTAAAAAAAACAATTTAAATATCCTCGCTTAATTCAAGTTATTTAGAAGTATCACACCAATCTCTTTTCTAAGTCTTTTAAAAGTGTCAATCTTGAATGGTTTAGTGAATAAGTATGTCAATCGTTTTTAAGTTGAATAATATATTATTTTAATATTTTCTTGTTGAATTGTTTTTTAATAAAATGATATTTTGTTTCAACGTGCTTTTACTTCTTTTATATAGTATAGAGATTTTATAAATCTTTGTTCGACTTAACTACCAATTCTTCCCAATGTTTGATTTAAAATCGGGAGGTTGTGTTACATACACAATTTCCTCCAAACGTTTATTTAAAAATACATATTTAACATTTAAATGAAATAAAGGTCAATCTCTTTCATATACAACGACTATAATTTTCTTTATAATCTCAAATCTTACAACAGATGAATACACTACATCATAATTCAAGTAAACTTTCTGCATAAAACCTCTTGAAATTAACCTCGCTTTTTGTTTGGCTATCTCTCTATTTTCTTCTAACTTTCACCATTTTACATTTATGGCTCTTTTCTTTAATGATAGCTTTGTGAGCTCCAATATTTTGTTGTTCTCTATTGCCTTCAATTCTTTAATCATTTCATTTTTCATACATTTTTCTCTAAAGCCTTCTTATAAATAAGTGACTGTGCATGTGCAAGAAGTGAAAAGTGTGCAAATCCACCTTTATCATTTACATAATTATGAGTTTCATAGTTTGCCAACCTTATTGACACAAATCTTTGTATTTGTGAGGCTCTTCTTTCTTAAACTATTTATGCAATTGATACTTAAATCCTCCCTTCATCTTAATCTTTTTGTTCCTCATCTTAATCTCTCAACTCACACACTATCACATCCCTGCTCACAATTATTGTGTGTTTGATTGTATTTTATTGTCTATAAGCACCTATTCCATGATAGCTATAAGCAGTGGCGAAGCTATGAATTTTAAGTAGTTTGGACAAAAAATGTACACCTTATTTTTATTAATTTTGTATCTTGTTTTTATTAATTTTGTCTTTGTTTTTATTAATTTTGTATCCTTTTTTTACTAATTTTATCTATGGTTTTATCTAAAAATCGACTATTAAGTTAGAGAGACACAAAGAAAATAGGGATTAAACCCTGGCACATACTCGAGTTCGTTGGACTATAAAACCGCCCCTAGCTGCCAGTATCATAGGTTCACCCATATCATCTAACTTGTTCCTTACTGCCTAAGATATACGTCTATAGCACAATGAACCAAACAAATTTAAATGCTTAATTGACTGTTTTTTCTTCTTCTATTTCTCAGGTAGTTAGTCTAATTGTTTGGTTCACATAGGTTGCAATATACATAACTTTTCTCCCTAAGATGCTTAGTATTTTCTTTTACTTAGCATACTTTTTGTCATGTCAAACAAGCTTTTATTTCTTTGTCAAGCAAGCTTTTATTTCCTCTTTTATACATGCATGTATGTGATATGATGAAATTTTGATATATATAATAAATATTATGCATAAATAACAAGATGCGCCACTATCCCTTTTTGGATGAAAAAATCAATTATTTTAAAAACTTCATTTTTCCTAGGAGACACGCCATTGTTATGTATGTGTTTTTACACTATATAAAAGATCTATTATTTTTTGTATTAAAAAATAAAAAATCTTAAAGGTAAATAGTATGAAAGCATGTTGATTATCGGAACACGCTTTCTCATACTTGGCCATTTTACTTGATATGGTTTTGAGATATTAGTTCTGCTCCGTCCTACAATATTCAAATAATGGAATGGCATTTATATTCTGTTCCGTTTCATTCTGCTCCGTTCTATTCTGCTCTGTTCCGTTAGTTTTAAATTATCCAAACAAACCCTAAATAATAGAATTATCAACTTTTTTTTTTTTTGTGTAAGCAAGTTTATATTAACGGGAGAACTAAGGGTTCTCCAACCTGATTACAACAAGATCGGGAAGAAACCCGGCAAAAAGAGAGAAATTATCGATCAAATAGAGTTATCTAAGAAATAGCATAAGATCTTTGCTAAATTCATAAAAACTATAGTTGAGATGAATAATTTTTCCTATAAACGACCACTTTCAAACCAAAATTTTAATATTCCAAATTGTATTATCAACAGTCCACCCATCATTCCGAAAGTAAATCCTATTTCACGATAACCAAATGGACCACAAAATAGCAAGCCAAACTACACCCAATTTGCCCTCCCTCACTTTTTTCCTTTTACTAAATAAGCATCAATCCTTAAAATTCGATAAGCACCCATCTCCATTATCTATCGATTTACCAATCCACAAAGAGATCTATTTCCAAATAAGCTTCACCACTTTACATTTGAAAAAAAAATGTTCCATGCTTTCCAAATCATTTCCACAAAAAGAACATAACAAACAGTCTAAAGGGAAAGAAATACCTCTTTTCATCAAAAGATCTTTAGTGGGAAGTCTATTGATAAAAAGCCTCCAACCAAATACTTTGATCTTTAAAGGAACCTTTATCTTCCAAATCTTGCTTGAAGCCTCTTCTACTCTATTACAAGGGCCAAACGGAATTCTAAACTGAGAATAAAAAATGTAACAAGACGTAACCGAAAATACTTCACTTATCTCCGCAGACCAAGACATCTTATCATGAACATTCGAGCCTGAGATATTTCCTCTTAAACCCGAAAAAAGGGAGAAATTCTCAACCAATTGAAAGAAAACAGCAAATTAACGTTTATTCTGAAATCCCCCAACATCAAACTCCATCTTTCCAACCCTTCATCCCGGCCACCGACACCCTTTTTCAA